AAACCATGCCTTTCTATCTACCCAGTACAGCCACATATTCCCTAACCACTACGTCATACCTTCGTAGCTTACCCGAGTATAACAACATACTGATAGAGTGTACAATCAAGTCATGCATTATGATTTGGAGATCAAAGTTGATGATATTCTTTTCATGTACTCAATCTGATAATCTATTCAGACCACAATTTGCCATTGTTCGGTTTTAGTCTAGGCACGCAATCCCTTCTTTCTCTCTCTCTCTCTTTCTCTCTCTCTCTCTCTGTTCCTTTTTCCTTCGGCCTCTCCCATCACTGTCGTCTGATCTAGATCCACTTCTCTTCTATAACTATACTCGATAGTCAATTATAGCTCAACAGATAATAACTATTTGTATACTTTTATCTAGATCTATTAGGATTAAATCATTGTCAAAATATTTCCATAAATTGGGGTAAAAAAAGTAATATTTTAACTAAATGAGCGACAGTGTATAATCCTACTTCAGTTATAATAATCAGCTATATTACATATTTCAGTCTTGAGCCTTGGCATACCTCCATAAGTATGTCTGTTAAATGAGTTCAATATCATTTATTATTCAGTAGTCTTACGAAACATTGTTTATGAACTTTGACGCCACCTGTCAGTTCTACATTTTATTCCCTTGCATCTATAAGCTGTCCTGTAGACGGTGTTGTCCGCATTGTTGTAGGGGTGTACGTTGTGAATATCTTGTATGAGTAGAGGTATCTATGAATTTACTTTACTTGTGTAATATCAGTAAGTAAAATATAACCACGGTTGTGTGGTAAAGGGTTTTTATCAAAATCCTTATTTGCCCAACTACAGAGCATATCGACTGATCATCAATTTCAAATTAAACCTGAACGACGTATTGTGATTACGTTACAAGTATTTTGTGATCGTCTGCTAGCTAGTCATTTATTATTATGTCCGAGCGTTCAAGAGTGAAGCAGGGATATGTGAGTTTAGCGCACCATCTCAAACTCATTCATACATTAGTCAATCTATCTATTCGACAACATAGCAGAGCGTCATCTCTTGGCGAGACTTTTAGACAGCTATATCATGATTGGTATGGGTCGAGGGGGAGTCCCCATTTTCGGGACCTATTCCTATGCACGCTGTTCTTATCTCAGTTCGTCCTGTGTACATTGTCTTACCTGTATAGATCAATTGCATTAATAACCATTTCGTCTTCAGCATGGGGGCGCAATGTGTTGTTATTATATAAGGAGTACACTAACGTAACATATTAGGCATTACAGAAGAATAGAATCAAAGCTTATCATTGCCCATGTTCCTTTATGATTTTCCCACATGAATAGTGAATAATTATGCATATTATAGCTAGTCTTATTTGCCTCCTAAAAAGCTTTTGACTCGTCAGTTTTTAATTCAGGTTTACTCAAGTTTTGTACCTCGTAAACGAAAAGGCCTGTTGTTTTGATCACTACCTGAGCTACTAATAACAATCAACAGGGTTATTATGAATAATCAAGATAATCATGTCTCATTGATGCATTATCTCATGAACAATATTCTTGAACCAACCGTTGTGTTTTGTATAGCTAGCGTCTTTTCAGGTCCAGTTCTCGTTTTTGTTCCTCTTTCTTATAATTACTGGTGTCACCCCACTCATTACACGCCCTTCTCTCTCTCTCTCTCTCTCTCTATTTCTTTCTCTCTCTCTCTCTCTCTCTCATGCTCTTTACATTTCCTCTTCCTCACTTTAAACCTATTTCAACTACGCTTAATGATTGTACATTTTTCTATTTGTAACAAATATTTGTATTTTAAAGTTCTTTGATTTAAAAATTCATACTTAAAGAATGACAAAAACTGTAGTTGATTTCATTTATTTTAATTTTTTGAGCTGATTAAATGAAAAGCCGATTTGACATTGTTTACTTTGCATATGTTCCAGGTAATGAAATAATAACATATACCAGAATGAAAATGAAGAAAATATACATTACCACCAGTACTTGTCAAATACCGGAATGAAAATGAACAAAATAAAAATGACTTCCAAACTACTCTTCAGATACAAGAACGAAAATGAAAATAATAAACTCTTCAGATACAAGAACGAAATTGAAAATATTAAGCACGAATACCAAACTACTCTTTAAATACAAGAACAAACATGAACGGAAAAAATGACTAACAAATAGCTTGTCATATATGATAATTAAAATTAAAAAATGAAAATTATTAAACAACAAAACTTTCTCTTGAGATTCCAGTATGAAAATGAACAAAATAAACATGACTACCAAAGTACTTTTCATGGTAAGGAGTGTTTCGTCAATGCTTAGGAACTTCACTTTACAGTTTGACAAGTGATATTGTTTAACTAAATAAAATCAATCATTGAATGAAATTTAGCAGTTCATTTGCTGACAAATCATTACAATCGAGATAAATGTAAAGGCATACGTATTTCTATAACTGGTTTCCTCTTTATCAACTGCAGTTACGAGCCGAATTAATTGTTTCCATTCTAAATCCAGTGTAACCGCATTTGTTACACTTTCAAATGTCTAGGACTGAAAGCTAGAACAAACTGAAGTTACTATAGGCCTACAGTGTAATGTAAGATAATCATTGTTCCGTATACCACGATATCTTATGGCCCGGTCCCACTGGCCGATGGACACAAAACGTATGCATAAAGGACACAGCGGACGAGCAAAATTTCGCGGGTGGCTCCATCCGTTTTCATCCGCTCTAGAAATGGACAAAATTTGCGAAAATTTGCGAAAACAGAACGGAAAATAACGGACGTGGGTAGTATGTAGCGGGGATGTTAAACGGATGTTCATCGGAAGCCTAGCGGAGGAAAGCGGATGGAAGTGGATGACAGCTTTGAATACTTTATATACGAGATGCATACGCTTACATCCTTTCTATTTCCGTGCTACTAACGATGTATAGACGTTCCATGTACCTTATCTTTCCTCCCTCTTTCCGTTTTCAGCTGCAGCGGATGTGAGTTGCAAGGATGCCCAGAGGATGCAGAGAGGATATAGCGGACGTTTAACCGATGATAACGGACATAGAACGTTTGTTGCTCGTATTTGTCGCGGATTTACATCGTACACGGCGGAAGTTCATCCGTTCTAAAAGTTTTGTGCAGCTCAAAACTTTTTGCGCGGATGAAATCCCAGTGGACGGATGCTCGAAGGATAGAGCGTATGAAACACGTATGCAATGAGTACACAGCGGATGCATAGCGTTTTCCAACGGATGGCAAGATTTGTTTACGTTTTACATCCTCTTTGCATCCGTAAGTGCAGTGGGACCGGGCCTTAAGATCGTTCAATGTTTTTTTTTATGAATAAAATCATGGATTTTAACATACATGCAATGTTGAATTGTGCATAAATTTACAATCATGACGTTGATATAACGTTAAAAAGCATACCATACGTAGAAATAAAAAGTAATACATTCAGTTCTAAAACAAATAGTCCTTACATTAATTATAATATGATTTTGGTTGAAATATTCTTCAACAGGAACAGTTCCAACATTATGGGTAATGTTAATTTAACAAAATATATTACTCAAATGAACAACTTATTGAGGTTTAAATGTAAAAGAGAAAAGTACGAGCCGATATAAATTTGATACCGGTATGCAAACTAATAACATAACAAATTCATACTAAAGTGCGATTCGATATAGATGCAAGAGATCATACGGTTTACTGAATCGCCTGTTCATTTATTTGTTTTTAGTACATACAACAATGTAACATGAATTCACATTGAATTATAATAATATCGCAATAAAAGGAATGAATTAATAACTGTATAAATCAATAATACATTAATATTGTGAAAACAATATCTCGGTTCATGAAATTGTCCACACAATTTCAACATATTGCGTCATAACCCTCCATGTTCCAGCTATCTGTACACATCATTGACAGTATATTGATACAACCTGCTTAAACCTAAAACGATTGGGGGAAAAAATATGCCCCTCTAAAATCCTTCTTGAAAACTCACGAAGGCTTTGGAAATGGAAAACAAATCTTATAGCGACGAATTTCTTATCAATGTCAAGCTATTCTGTATTTTTAAACATAAAATGATATCAAAATTTTATAGTGGCTAAGCCTGGTGAGACTTCCTATCGATCTTGTTTCCTTTTCTTCATTTTTCAATCCATGCTTCATATAAATAAAATTTCATTAAAATCCAAATTAATCGTATATAAAGATTATAAACAGTCATATGATATTAAACATTCACATTGTTTACTTCAAACGCTCATTTAATTATATACATTATCATATGAAAGCTTATGCAAAGTTTTGGGAAACTTAGACAATTGGAGGATAGTGATAATTTAACATTTTGGGAAAGATGTAATTTGGGAAATGTAATTATCAGGAATTTACCAGTGCTCCCGTCAAATTTCAAATATTTCAAATAGCGCCTAGGGCCATTTCATGGAAGCTGAGATCATGAAAATCTCAGAATATGCAGTTCTGATATATTATTTCCAAACTGGAATAGCAAATTGGTCGATTTGAGTCAAGAAACGTCTCGTTAAAGCTGAAGTCATATCAGTTTTTAGAGGGAGCTATACAACCTAGAGATTTTATTATTCACGATTTCATAACTTCAGACTCGATTTCAACCGCGACATCGATCATTAAATACTATAAAATCGCATATGCTTCCAATATGTAAAATATGTTCATTTGAACCTAATTCATGACCCCATACCAAAACTTGTTATATCCTTTAAGCGATACAATATGTAATTATTGAAAGTTAAACAAAATATTTTATCACGGGTATGGTGTTAACAAATTTTTAAAAGTCACCGGGATTTCGAAGTAATATAAAATAAAATTCATATTGTTTGGTAGTCAATATGTTTTCCTTCGTCAAAAATACAGATGATTTAATTCAACTTTAACTGAGTTGTATGAACAATAAAATAATCCGATATCCCGTTGAGGCTTTAATTAAATTTGCAGTATGAGGAATAACAACGATTTCTTCAGATGACTTATACAATAAATATCTTCTTGTACACAAAAATCTTGTCTCCGTTACAAGCTTCAAGGTTACCAGAAAGAGTTATGAGGCATGGCTTACCGATGGAGTATCGGACTGATTTCTTGTAGTCCACGATCCCCTTTGCCTGGATGATACCATCACATGACACCTGATCAACTGCGTAGATAGAACGCTCACCATCCCAGTATGTGATGTAGAGTGTGTCTGTTAGTTTGTCAACTCGACACTGTGGCGCGCACCACTCAGCACTGTGTATGACAGCCTTCTCATCCCCAGATCGTGAGATGACAGTGTATCCGTTATTAGATGTCTTCACAACGATATCACCTGATGACAAGGCTTGTATCTCACCCCACACCTCCTTGCCCTGCATCGTAATGGTGTTTACTATCTTACCATCAGCAGGGTTGATGACGTAGATATTAGACTGATCGCTCTGAGCAGCGAGGATCATCCCACCCCTGTCAACATCAACATACACCCATGCAGTATCGCGGTTATTCTTCGGTATGCCGATGTCTGTAGTCACCTTCCATTGTCTGTCATAGAGAGTGATGCATCCATCCAAGCTGACACCCTTGAAGCCTCGTCTCCACTTACCACATAATATAACGTTGCTGTCTATGGGGGCGAATGATGTAATGTTCATGTTACAATCTCCTTCAATGACTTTCTGTGTGTGTTCAGTGCTGATATTTGTAACATACGTGTTATGGTTCCTTACGTCCCGCACACATATCTCATCATCACTGATCAAACCACGCACCCGTGGGCAATTAACAATCGATGGAATGTGGATTGCCTTGACAAGCTCCCATTTACCGATATAGCCATCAATTCTCCCGTAGTGTTCCCCACCTACTTCACCCTCTACAAACTTCAATCTCTGAACTTCACCCTGAATTCGGTCAAGACAGTCGCTAACATCTTTCAAATTCAAAATTTCATCTAGGGATGCAAGCACTTGAGGATCTTCATTCACCAATGTTTTGTCATGTTGATTGATTCGTTTGATCTTGGCGTCAACATTATTCATAGTGCTGATTGCGTGCTGACTCTCACTTGTGAGATCTTCTATCTTTTTAGCAACCACCTCGCTAATTGCCTTTGTTTCTGATTCGAATTTAGCTTGGCTTTCTCTGATGGGTAGTTGTTGTTGTTCTGCTTCTTCCTGACATGATTTGATCCGTGTTTCCCTCTTTTCGTTAATTATTTGTATTTCTTTATCCACCTCCTCGTCGATCAAACGAATCGATCGTTTCTCTTTTTCTTTCATAATCTTTAATTTGTCGTCGAATGCCATCCTAAGTTCATTGTTGACTGCTTGAAAATGGTTACTTGCAAAGGTTGAAGTAGACTCTAGTTTAGAGGAGAGTGCTTTTAGTTGTTTCTTCATTTCCTCTATCTCTTGCTGCTTGTCATCCAGTTTCCTCCTCCTCTCCAAGATGACATCCTCGATGTCGTCTAGCTTACATGGTTTGTGGCAATGCTCTTTGGTAGCGCATGGATGACATACGGGGATTTTGTGTTCTTTGCAGTAAAATTTAATTGGCTCCCCGTGTTTGTCACATGACCATGTCATGTCATGACCTTTTCTAGGGTGTAGCTTGACCTTTCCATCTCTCTCTCCTGGGAACTTAGACGCCATGATGCGGAGCAAATGGTAGCAAATAACCTGCATCGTGAACAATAATACAAATTAAATTAGCTAAAAACTTTAGGATAAGAAATAGAGAAGCGGATCAGGAAACAAAGAGAGACAAAGACATGTAAAGGGTGAGGAGAATAATCAAATAGGGAAAATAGGGAAAGCAGAAACATAGAACAGAATATCAAGCATATTATATAATCTGTATTTATTATTCTACTTTCTGCTCCAATTGCTCGTCAGTATATTATGAATGATTTATTCATATTGAGTAAGGCAAATATTAATTCCTTTCATTTAATTTCGTTTATTTACATTTCCAACAAAATAAAATAAGATAAATGAAATTGCATCGTACATTGCAAAAAATTGAAACTTAACAATGCAATTGTAATTGTAATTGGTCCACAGTCTACAACAGGCATAAACAGCAGGTTGGTCGTGGAGGGGACTGCTAAAAAGATAGGCTTGTACATTGGTAAAAGAAGATATATGTGCACAAATATTTATCAATAATAAGGGAACGCACTAATACATAAACCGGATAGACATAACATAAAATGCGTGAAAGGGACAGGAAAGAAGGGAGATAAGAAACGAGAGAGGTTAGGGCTGTCGCCTATAAACACTCACAACAAAATACGGATGGCAATACAACATGAAAGGAAATATAATAGAGTATATTATTGAGTGAAAGAAATTGAATGAGGGAGAGCTGATAACTACGTAGAAGAGATTTTTAGATTTAAATTTAAAAGATCCGGGCCTGCATAAGTGAATATGGATTTAGCCATTATAGTTCTAGTAAATGGCAGATGGAATTCGTCAGATTGGCGTGTGGGGGTATTTGTGTATAGTTTTATTGTTGATGAATATTGAATAAAAGATTGGAGGTAGCGTATTATTATTATTTAACTGCTACATGAACTGATCGAGGTTCTAACGATATAAATCTTCCATTTTAAAGATATTATTTTCGATGAACAAAACTTAAGGATGGGATCTCCAGGACGTGATACAGATAACACGCACCGCTTTCTTTTGTAGAATAATACGTGCCATATGGGTACATGAGATGTGTATTGTAGCGCGTCCTTTCTAAACTCAGCACTAAAGTCAACCAATAGAGGAGCCAGGCATGATAACTTGGCTAACGTTCGATGCCTGTTTATATATTTTAGAGGATTTTTTTTCTTAATCGGTGGCTAACACTCGTAAATCTGAGGGGCGTCCTAAAACACGGCCTTTTTGATAAATAATAGTATTTGGTCAAGAAAATTTTTATGGAAATCTTAAACTACCATGAGTTTTGTGTCATATGAAGACCAAAAAATGATACCAGTTTCAATGGAATCGGGATTAATTAACAAAATGATATTTTGAGAATACTCCCCCCCAACAACAACACAAAAAACGTGTTTTTTACTTAAATTTTTGACGTCAAATAATCCCAATTCCGTTTAAATTGATACCAAAATGTAGATAATCTAAATATCCTTCTTAAGTCATCAAACTCAAGGTAGTTTAAGGTTTCCATAAAATTTAATTAACCAAATACTAATACTCGTCAAAGGGGCGTTTAATTTTGGCCCTCTGCTTAATATAATAGAGTACATCATGCTTAGTTTTGTAGTTAGTTGCCGCTACCACACAAGCTAATTAGCACACTTTGTTAATTCGAAAGATTCTTTCATAATACACAATGTTTCAGAGTTGTTTTTCTTTTCATTTTAGCAAACACCTTTAAATCGCAGGGGCCTCCTAAAAATAATATTTAAAACAAGAGGAAAAAGAGGAATAATTGATATGTTATGAGCAAGCAAGGTGTGTGTATATTTTTCATTTAGTTTGGTGTGGAATTGAATGGAATTAATTTGAAATTTAAGAGAAATGGTCAGGGGGTTCAGGGTGCACAATTCTAATTCGACAAACAAGTATAGTTTGCAGTGTAAATGCTAATACAAATAAAGACTTTAAACTTATAACTTCTCATCTGCCCGAATACATTTCCGTATGTCGTATCGAATCTATCAGTACCACAACATGTCCCTAACCACTACGTCATACCTTCATAGCTTACCGAGTATTACAAAATGTTTAACCGTGTGAAAGCATGACATGTCAAAGGTCAAAGGTGATGATATTCTTTTCATCTACTCAATCCGATAATCTGTTCAGACCAGCAAGTATCATTGTTCGCTTTCAGGTAGGCACGCAACGGAATGTCATATGAACGGGTTTCCCACCTTCACAATATGAGTGCACAAGTAGAAAGGAAGACAAATGCCAATCACATTTTATTATCATAACTACTACATGATAACACATTGTATGTGCCTCTAAAACCGTTTACATAGTTATGAACGTGAAATGACGTGCAGGTGATTTGCTAATGTGAAGAGTTATGTGGTGTATAGTAGATCTCTGCGCTCTTTCATATATTTTTGCTTCCATTTTATATACTAAAAAGCATGCTGATGCACAAATAAGAAACATTGTATTTCCAAAAACAAGATGTGTACTTATAGTCACTAGCGGATGTCTATGCAAGGTTGACTTTTAGGTTAACCTCTATCCCTCCTTCTCGATACTGTTTCTTTTGTCTATTAACTCATCAAACGGTTTACCTACCCCCTTTTCCCCAGCGAGAGAGAGAAAGAGAGAGAGAGAGAGATAGAAAGAGAGAGAAAGAGAGAAAGAGAGAGAGAGAGAGAGAGAGAGAAAGAAGGGGTGGAGAGATAGATAGATAAATATATAGAGAAAATGGAGAGCAAAAGAGAGTGAGATTTGGGGTTATAGCCCAACAGATGATAGTTACGCTCTCGTCCCGGTTACTGTCTCCCTGCAGTCCCTGTGTGTGTGTGTGTTTTTCTCTCTCTCTCTCTGTCTTTCTCTTGCTCTCTCATTATTTTTAAAATCTCTTTTATGAAGAGACTACCCCTTCTCTCATCCTCTCTCTCTCTCTCCCTCCCTCTTTTCATCCTGGCCTCTCTCTCTTTCTCTTTCACATACCCAGTGTCTTTGTCTGCTGGTTATGCCATGTGACTTTCTTTCTCTCATTTAAAACATAAACACGCCTCAAAAAAAATTAAAAAAACATCCATTGAACAGAGCATCGAATAACATACTGAATGAAAAATAACTTTCGATAATTGGGGATATAGGAATCAATATATTAATTGCGCAGTACACGATTATGGCAAGTTTTATTTGGAATTTATACAGTTATTGCATAGTCAATGAAAGTTCACAACGTTGAAAAAAAAACTCTATAACAATCCACAGTTTAACACAAATATTATCGATTTGTGCTCTAGTATAAAGCGTTGGTCTGTATGTTGATATACACAAAATAGCATGCAAAGGCAATCCATTCCGTTAATGTTGCAGGACGCCATTTATAACATTACTTGACTTTTATTAATCGAAATGCATTATTAAAATATTAAGTTGACTGCAAAGAACCGCGAGGGTGACAAAGACATGAACGAGGAGTTGAGAAGAATTAGTTAAGACGGCAGGAACACGAATCTAGATAGAATATCAAGCATTGCCTTTAGTGTTTACTTTGTTATTTATTCTGCTTTTTTCGATTGCTTGTCAGTTCATTACTATGTATAGAGTAGCGGTTAAATACAATGAAACAAATGCCAGGTGAATAATAAACGCTAGTCAAAACAGTCAACCTGTATAGCGCGTCTCTGTAGTCGCCATATCGTTTGACTTTGGCGATCATGCTGTTCCGCAACCCTCGGCTCCTAGCCTTCTGTATATTAGTACCTCTCCCAGTTCATTCACTCTTCTCTCTTCCAACAATTTCTGCAGACTTTCCATCCAAATTATCCTCCTTCCTCCCCTACTTCTTCTTCACACAACTTTCCCAGTCAAAGCAAGATTCTCTAGGCCTTCTTTACGTGTGATGTGACCCATGAACTTCAAATGCCTAATCAACATCTCACGTATCATATCTTTTGCACTCCATCTCGTGTAAGAACTTCCTCATTACTAACTTTGTCAGTCCAGGGGATTTTCATCATTCTTCTTAAAAAAACACATTTCGCGACTTTCCAAACGCCTTTTAATATTAAAATTCTTAATTTTGTGTCATAATGATTACAAGAATTATAATTCATGTAAGATCTGTACTTACGAGTAGTTATCAGGATTATCCCGTTGTGATGAGGACCTCTCTCCTATCAGCTCACTATGTATTATCAGTGTGTTCACTTTGATTGTATGCAACTGACATGAGAGGCTGAAATATCGGGTATTTTCCAGCTCCGCAATACCATGGATCGATGCACAGAGCAAACAATTTTTCAAAAGAGAAGGAATTATATGCATAATCACGTCACTGGTTCAAAGTTGAAAGCGTTTTGTTTAATTTGTCTTCGGTACGGTGGTTATTGTGTAGAACCTAGCTTCGAGTCTACACGACGTCATGATCATGATGTAAACCGAACGACTCTCATGTATTAAAATACGCTCACATCCATCTCCTTTATATATTATTATAATCAAAATAGTGAAACACAGGTTTTTCATCATGAACAGTGTTACATCGTCAATATTTATATTTATCTATGTTTATATATAACCCTACATGGTACATTAAGTGGACATCATAAAAATCCTAACCCTAACCCTAACCCTAACCCTAACCCTAAAACCTAACCCTAAACCTAACCCTAACCCTAACCCTAATGTCTACTTAATGACTCATTTTTTCACTCCCAATGTCCTTCCAATGACGCCTTTAGTAAAATTACATATATAGAGAGTGATATATAACAAAATTGGGCCTTCCACAACAAATAAAACGTAAAAAACGTTAAGAGGATACCAAATTGTCCTCCTAATCACAATGTCTACTTAATGACTCATTTTCACTCCAAATGTCCCTCTTATGACGCCTTTAGTAAAACATACATATATATATATATATATATATATATATATATATATATAAATTATGTATCAGAGCAGAAGGGATGCATTGTAGTCAGTATAAAATGTATTCT